GTTAATATTAGACTCAGAGTTAATATTAGTCTCAGAGTTAATATTAGACCGAGAGTTAATATTAGACTCAGAGTTAATATCAGACTCAGAGTTAATATTAGACTAAGAGTTAATATTAGACTAAGAGTTAATATTAGACTCAGAGTTAATATTAGTCTCAGAGTTAATATTAGACCGAGAGTTAATATTAGACTCAGAGTTAATATCAGACTCAGAGTTAATATTAGACTCAGAGTTAATGTTAGACTCATAGTTAAAGTTAGACTCGGAGTTATTCTTAGACTCAGAGTTAACTTAGTCTAACAATAACTGAGTCTAAACTCAGTTATTGTCAGACTAAGTTAACGTTAGACTCAGAGTTAATGTTAGACTCAGAGTTAATATTAGACTCAGAGTTAATATTAGACTAAGAGTTAATATTAGACTCAGAGTTAATATTAGACTAAGAGTTAATATTAGACTCAGAGTTAATATTAGACTAAGAGTTAATATTAGACTCAGAGTTAATATTAGTCTGAGTTAATATTAGACTCAGAGTTAATATCAGACTCAGAGTTAATATCAGACCCAGAGTTAATATCAGACCCAGAGTTAATATTAGACACAGAGTTAATGTTAGACTCTGAGTTATTCTTAGACTCAGAGTTAGTGTTAGACTCAGCTATTGTTAGACTCAGTTTTTGTTAGACTAAGTTAACGTTAGACTCAGAGTTAATGTTGAACCCAGAGTTAAAGGTAAATGTTACCTTGGGGAAGCTGTTGCTGCGCTCGCCCTCCTCCTGCAGCAGCTCTCTGTATGTATCCAGGTACCTGAACGCCACATTCAGTACCGCCTGCTTCCTCTCTGCAGAGCTCATCTCTGTCTTTCCATCCCCCTCTCCTCCTCCTCCTCCTCCTCCCCTCCTCTCCCTCGCTGCCTCCTCCTCGCTGCCTCTCCCCTCTTCCTCTAGCGTAAATCTGGAGAACATCAAGTTAAGGAAACCAGGACACACTCAGAATCTGACCACGGTTACATCCTCTTTCCTGCTGCTGATGTTGTTGCCTAAACAACAAACAAACAAACAAACAAACAAACAAACAAACAAACAAACAAAGAGAACGCTTCTTTTAAAACATAAACAGAATCATTTTCAGTCTCAGAGAGCAGCAGCCATGATGACCCACATTACGCAGACACACAAA